AAGAGAATGATGATTGGAAATATTTTTCCGGGTAAAATGTTTTCAATATCTTTTTTGATATATCTGAAATAGATTTCGCATTTTTCAGTTTTTCGATATTTAATAGCCGTGTAACCAGATCTTTTAAATTAAATTTTTGCTACAACAAAATTTTAGGATTTTGATGAAAAATACAATTGTTATTTTTAGCAGATTCTTTTTTTATTTTCGATCGCTCGAGAAGCTGTACTTTCGCTGTGTTTGTTGAGATAAAACGTAGCTGCTTAAAAACGACCAATGGGTCGAAAGCGAGTTGAGAGCGAATTTCAGCGAGATATAATTCGATCGCTTCTGTGCATACAAATTTTCGTACGAATATAACGGCGGTGATTCGACTTTACGACACCGCGAAATTTCTCAGCCCTCGGCGAATTTGCAATTCGATGTGCGTGCACGAGCGAACCGCAGAATCGTTCGACGGTTTTTAAACTATCGGCATCCGAATATCCGGAGAAACTAACGTTGCTACATATATCGGGTCTTGTATGCAATTTCATTGTGCCATTTTGCTCGAACATGAAGGTAACGACGAGAAAAATCAAACAATCTCTAGGAACTCATGAATTGGAAGATGTCGAGGATTCAATAAAGAGATGAAATATGGGAAATATGAAAAGACTAGAAAGTCCGAGACGTAGAAGAAAATTCCCTCTTAGCATTATTCGGAGTTTGAACAGATGTGAGATAAAAAGGTGCAAGTAAGAATAAATTTCGACATTTTTACCCGTGAAACGCCCGACGTCTCCTCTTAAATTCGGTTAAAGAACGACGCTTTCCAGCCGATCCCCTCGCATTGTTACTGCAATTCTGGAAGGGGTCTCCTCGCGGCGAGTCAGGGGGTTGGAAATAGAAGCGATTGTCCTCGAGCTTGCAATATCGATATTGTTAATCCATCGCTATGCTCTTGGCACAGGATCAAGCGGAGAGGATTGCTCGGTCAACAACGGGATTTTCGCGGTCCCTAGGGAAATTCTCGCTGGAGAACTATCCCCATTTGGAGCGGAATAAATACACAAGTCGCGTCGAGACGAGGAGCGAAAAGACACTCTCGCGAGCTTTCGGCCGAAAGCACCCTAGGGACGAGCTTTCCCGTTCGAAAAAGGATAGGCCGGGTCAAGGCGGCCCTCCTTCGCAATCGCGATTATCGAACCGAGCTCTCGATATACCGAGGGGGATATAACGGGAGGACTGCTCGCGCTTGTCGCCTTGAATATCCGGTCGTTATATCCAGCGCATCAACGGAGTCGTTTTTAGTCGATAAAGTTTGCGAAGGTCGCGAGGTCGCGGAAACATCTTATTTAACGAAAAGTAAACTTCTCAGACGCTCATATCGAATTATAAAAGGGTACTCATATTAGAAGAAGGAAATATTTTTCTAAACTTACAAAGTTTTTTTTTTACAACCAACTATGAAGACTATTAAAAACTATGATGCGGATATTATGCGTTTTCCAATGCTTTCTTTGTCTAACTTTTCTTGCTCGATTCGAGAAATATTATACCAAGTTGAAGCTCTCAAAGTTTGGCTTACATTAATTTTCCCGATAAATAAGAACCATCTTTCTCCCTCATTGAACCTTCGTTTGAACTCGGAATTGCTACTCTCCGCAGTGCGGATGGAAATCGGCGAGATATTTGTGGAGAAAAATTCTCATTGTTTAAATCTACCGCATGCCGTTTTCAAATTCCGCGTGCCGGACATTCATAAGTTTCAAAATTGTTGCGGGAGAACGCGGGACGAATTTTAATAAAGCCGAATTCGCGCCAAGGGAGACGGTCTTCCTCCATGTGTCCTTTGATATGTCATAAAAACGCGATGGTAAATTGGAGGTTTATCGATCGACGATCCTGGTCCCGATGGACCATAGTTATCATACCGAATACTCGACAGCACGCATTTCTCAAATTATTAACCCAACAACGTAAATCAATTCGATTCACTGTTCTAAATGAAGAGTCTAGTACGTGAGATAAGATAGATACAAAAAAGTAAGAGTTTAACATCCAATGGAAAAGATCTTTCTTGCTTTTCTCTTGGATTTTTTTTTCGTATAATTTTCTATTAATTATTTTTGTCGATTCTCCAAAAAATGTTGACCACAGAAAATTAAAAGAGAGAGGCCAAATTATTTCATTAAAAAAACACCTCTAGTTATCGCGATTCATATTTCTCTCTTAGAATTCATTTAAACATTTTCTATCAATTCCAAAGTTCCACATATTTGACCAGACCAGAAAAGCATATGAAGCGAGAAATTTTCTCCGAATCTTTTCATTTTCATATCGACGTATCTTGGAGTTCTTCTACTGGTTTCATTGGTCAACCGTTCCTGGATGTCTCATCGATTGTCAAGAGTCCTTGAATTTGCTTGTTTGAGGATATATCATTTAGATCCACGTGGCGAAGCTTGTACAAGGAAAGAGCTGTTGTTCCTGATAACGTGAGCACCCCCGACAACATTGATTTCTCGCGATGAGAGACCAGGGGATGGGAAAGGATAACGATGCGAGGCGGGCGGATGGGAAAGGGGGATCAATCTACATCCTCCTAGGATTGTTCGGAGTAACGGTGAGGCAAATGCTGGTGTCGTGTATACATTTGCCAACGTCTTGGAGGTCTTCATCTCACGTCGCGAGCATTCAAGCACGAAGCTTTTCGGGTTTGAAAGGAGCTGAGACGACTGTCGGCACGATTTCCGAGAGATCTGTCTATATACAAATGTCTAGAGGATGTTTCGCGGAATTCAACATATCAAGACAAAATATCAAGAAAGAATTGTATTTTTTAAAGAACCTTTCGTAGGGATTTAATAAGAGCATCCATTTTTTCAACGAGAATCTATTACGAAAAATCTTAATTTTTAGAGACCATTAAATATATTAAAATCCGCTGATCTTTTCTTAAAATTTTGCTCCTCTCTCAAATACCTTGTAATTTATCAACTTTGGATTTCATAAAATATTAACTGTATATTCTTCGTTGTTTTAAATTTTATAACCTAAGGGAGAAATATATCTCAATTCAATATTAATGCTTCAGCCAGCGGCAATATTCTGATTATTCAATCTCACGAATAAAAAGAAAACATTCGGCAAGAGTAAATGGTCACGATTTTCGAGAAAAGAGAAATCAACCGGAATTTCCTCCGAGTATAAAATCACATCGTCGTTTTGCCCTTTTCGCCGAACCAGTCGGTGCAATATTAACGCGGCTACATCGCTCTGCACTTTTCTCACGCGGTTTCAAGGGCTCTGATCGATGACGAATGAATTAACGTTTCGTCGCGGAACGATTCCGACTGGCGATAAATATTCATCGAGCCATCCCGATCTTCACGTTCTACTCGGACTCGATATGGCGCGCCTTTATCATTTATCAGCGACTCTCGTAATTTATTCAGGGTGTCTCGGAGAGAGCCCGCGATAAGCAAAATGTGCAGATTGCGGGTATTTATAGATATTCGAACGCCCCAAACACTCGTAAAATGAACCGAATGTGTACACAGAGTGTTGTGTAAAAATAGCCATCGTCTAGAAATTATCCAACATCGCCATTATATGTTGCGCAAATTTTTGATTAATTATTTTACAATTTTTTTATAATAAACAAATTATACAGTTGTGCCTGTTATTATATTCTCATCGGCATGTATTTTATAACTCATAATTTGTAATCCAAATGCCATCAATTTTATTTTCATGAGTGGTAATAAATAATAATGACAAATTCATTTCGAACATCGTCTAGAAATTATCCACTATCGCCGTTATATGTTGCGCAAATTTTTGATTAATTATTTTACAATTTTTTTATAATAAACAAATTATACAGTTTTGCCTGTTATTATATTCTCATCGGCATGTATTTTATAACTCATAATTTGTAATCCAAATGTCATCAATTTTATTTTCATGAGTGGTAATAAATAATAATGACAAATTCATTTCGAACATCGATCAATGAATATTTAAATGTCAAATAATAAAAAATTTGATAGTAGACAAAATTGTCGAAAAATTCGATACACGTACCACTTTCTAAAACTACTTCATCAATCGAATTTCCGACTGCTGGCCGTTTCTAATGTTAATTCTATTGAGAATTCTTCAAATGATGGTCATGTTTGCGGTATTTTGTAAACAAGAACCAGGGGGAATTTCCAAGATCGTGCCGCGCACCTTCGGTATTTAACTTTTGAATTGCGACGAGTTTGCTCCCGCACGCGAGCGATCCGAAGCGAATTTACGAGAGCCTCGGGCAAAGTTTGACTCATCTATTAGCGAGTCAAGTGTAAATTAATTGGATGCTCGATAGTACGAGTCATGAACGTCGAGAAACCTTGCGTCAATTATATCCAAACATTTTCACAATTGATGCGCGCGATCGGTTGAAATCAATTATTTTCTATTGGAATCTTAATTAACATTCGCAGAATTCTGCATTTCCCAGTCAGTCTCGTTGAATCAGATGAGAAATTGGGGGTTCGTCGGCTTCGATCGTTATAACATCGAATTAAATTAATGAGAAAATTTTGGGAAAACAATGCGACGGAAAAAGTCAACAGCCACTTTGGGATTAGCATTTCTAACGTAATTTTGTTTATCGCGTCATTCCAACTGTACCACGTATAAAATATTTTCGAGGAGCGAAACCTTGCGCACAATTTTCTCTCGAGAAAAGTCACGTTTTTGCAGTTAAGAACCACTTTAAACGATCTACAACTCGTGACAAATTTCTATATTTTATGTGCCTTGCAATACGAGAGACGTTCGAGAGAAAGAAGAGATTACACTCACCCTAGAGAGAACAACATCGGGGGATATGTATTCTCATATATATATTAAAATACACGGGGATGCGCATAAAATAAAATCCCCGGATTTTCCGTCGCGAATATTACACTCTGTGATGCTCTTCAGGTATCATCGTACGCTCTTCAGGGCTCTAGTGCGGTACTCACCTTGCTGTAAACGCCGGCGCTGGACAGCTCGTTCTCGATGACCATGACGATGATGCCGAACATGCCCATCACGAGGGCGTAGTCGCTGATGCGCTTGCGCTTCTCGAACAGGGCCTTCCGCCTGCCCAGCCGGTAGCCGACGTTGGGCTTGTGCTTGGATCCGGGCCCGATGCTGCCGCCGCCGGACTGGCCCTTGAGGGAGCCGCCGCCGCCCAGCATGCGCTCGTCCATGTAACGGGGATACTCGGTGTGGACACCCACGAGGGCGATGCCGGCGTCCTCGCCGGCACCGGCACCCCCGGCGCTACCGCATCCGGCGGCCACCCCGGCCGCTCCCCCCGCGCCGCCCCCGCCGGCCACCCCGCCGCTGTTCTTCATCGCTCCCGGGATCGAGAGAGTCGACACTGGCTTCCGCAGCTGGAACAGCGAGAATAAGCGCGGTTAAGCCGACAGAAGCGCAATTGTGCATCCTCAAAATCATTGAGGTTCATTTTCTCCCGTCCTTCGAAGCTTCTAATTCACCCTTGCGACATTGAACGTGCATAAATAGCGTGTGCGTAAAGCTACGTATCTTGCCAAGACCTTGGGGAGACTTTTAAGGGCTGGAAATTGAAATGCTCAAGGGAGAGAAAAGTAAGGTTTTTCTTTCCCTTTCCCTCTTATCATTCTTCTTTCCTCCTCGCGAGTGTGACTCACGCTAACTTCGAAATAAATGGCTGTAGCTCGAGACGACTCGTCTTAATAGCGGCCGCGTAGTCCTGATTTATCGAGCAAAACGTGGGCGGTCGCATAAAATCTTCCAGCCGAAGCTCCCGAGAGGGGCACGAGACGGCTTTCGATCGATGGAAATTATTCCATCTGGCCAGCCAACTGGCGATACGAGTTAACGAGTGTCTCGAACGTGCGCGCGAAATTTCATACAACGCGAGCCCCGGGCTCGCGAAGCGAAGGGGAAAGAATGTTTATTCAAAAATGTAGCACTTCGTCTGGGGGCTTTAAATGGGATTTTCTGTATAACAAAAAGCGCACTCTCCTAATCACGTTAACTTTTTTTCCAGCGGAGCCGGCAATGAAGTATTGAAACGTTATTGGTTGCTCTTTTTTTTTTTTTTCTTTATCGCTTGTTGTTTTTTCCGCTTCAGGCGAGCTTTCAGACGGCATAAAATAAGCATGAACTGCGAAGATTTCGCTTCGATTTTACAAAGAAAAGGCCAAAGTTGCCGCTTAAAAAGGAAAAAAAAGAGAGGAAAAAAGTTTATCTCTCCGACTTCGTGCTAACGCTGGCGACTTGATTACTCCGAAGCAAACGTGCTCTAATGAAGGAGAATCAATACGTGTGTTTTTAGCGTCGCATGGTAAGACGAACTAAATCCCGTCTTCGTATAAAAGAAAAATAAAGCTCTAAATTAAATTACACATATTAAAGATAATTAATATATATGAAAATAAATATTTTTAATTATAACAATATAAATCTTGTATTCTCTAGTAAAATTTTAGAGAGATTATTAATATTCAACGTCCAATAGAAAAGGATTATTTTAATATTGAAAGTTTCGAGTAATCCAGAAGAAGGCTGTTTAACCCTTTCGTATCTCCGGGACATATATGTCCCACCTACGAAAAAAATCGTACCTTTTAAACAAATAATCCTATTGATTTCTACCTTGGCTTGTTTTAAAGAAGAAGATTCAAGCTATGCAAAAAATTGCGCACTTTGAGAAATGTAATGTTTACAGTACAATATAATTATCTAAACTTTGCAAAAAATAAGCAAACTTTTAGAAAATGCAAACTTTTAGAAATTGCAAACTTTTAGAAAATGAAGATTAACCGCGTATTAATCGAAAAATCACAAAATTTATGCGCTAATTATAAACTTAAAGTTTAAAAAAAAGTGTATAACAATACTATGAGTCGAACGTGTGTGTATATTCAGGAAAAAACATAATATATATTTTTAAAAAATAAAATCTAAGCTCATATTTTAAATATATTGATTTAAGCTTTTCATAGTCGCCATTTTGAATCTGTCATTTTGAATTCAAATTTTGATGATAAATTTGAAATTCGCACCCCCAAAAATCGTAAAACTGTTGATATAAAACACATCTCTTTTAGGAAAGCCAAGGTACGAAAGGGTTAAGTGACAAACCATAAGGTACTGAATAACTAAAAATATTTCTCAATGATATGAGGTCGCAAATTTTACCGCACCCTTTTAAGATATTACAAAGTTATAAAAAATACATATATTACGTATAAAAAATATAACGTCGCGATTATTTCGCTCGTAATATTTTCTTGACCAAATCTCGCTCCCCGCTTCGGTCCAGGATGAGCGAGAAATCTGAGCGCATCTCGTGTCACGGGAGAAGTCTGTTGTCGAGCGTCTATGTATCCCCCTGTTCGATTTCGCTCCGTATACCGGGTGTGCCGGTCGCGCTTTAATATGGAACGGAATACGGAACGGGGCGCATGCACTTGCCTCTACCAGTGTATGGGGGTTATACGTACGCGACTCCATGTGCGGCCTATCGATCCCCCGCTATATTTTCCGAACGCGTTGTCTTCTATACGAGGCAGCGCGTCTTCGAGTCGATGAGTTAGAGAGCGTGGGTCTGCGTGAGTGAGTTTCACTCAACGATGGTGCTAGAGAGATGGTGCACGTCCCTTTTTGTCCCATTTGCGTCAGACCGTGAGATTTTTTGTTAACGGATAGAGGCGCAATTTACGAGGTGTTTAAAAGTGACAATCTTCCCTAAGGCGCTCTTCTCGCTCACTCGAATCACAGGTGAGAAGACTTCTTCGCGGAACCACCGAGATTCCACATAATTTATTCCTGTGTTTCGTTGCCCCGTGATACTAGTTAACTGCGAATAATCAACAGGAAGGAAGGGACTGATGAGATACTCGCTGGAATGCACCGACAGGGAGATTTCGCGCAGCATGACCTCGTGACCTTTCTCACCAGTCGGAGGGTTAAGGGAGGAAGACTGTGTTACTGGGGGAGGACAGAAAGAGGGATACAGGGATGGGGTGGTAGTCATGGAGACCGTCCCGAGAGGCTTCCTTAATTCAAAGCTTGATTGGCTCGGGCAATCTTAAAACTTGTATATGCTCGACAAAGTTCTCTCTTTCTCGCCCGTACTTTGCGATTACTCGCGACCGCGATAAAGAGGCACGCGAATTGCCAGCGATGTTTCCGACATTTTTCATCCCTTCCACTCGTATCGATCGTCCAAGTTGATTATCCCAGCTGGAAAATGCATTCACAATTCAATTGTGTAATCGTTAAAAATTAACGATTATGCAATCAAGTCGATTAAAGGGCGGAATGCATTTGCCTTGAACTTATAAAAATGTAGGAAGAACTGAATCACTGGACTGTGGTACAGTGCATATGATAAATTAATAGTTATATAAATAATATAATATAAAATAATAAATAAAATAATTATATAAATAATTATTAATAGTTATAATATTCAATATTAACATTTTAAAAAATGTCAAATATTAAAAATTATATAAATTAACGAAAAATATAATAATCTTGTTGAAGCTTATCATCACTTTTGTAACTCGATTCTTTTCTCTTCCTTTCCTTATTATAATTTATTATTTATAATGTAATTTATTCTCATCAAGAGATGATACTCTTGTGACATGATTCCTTCCCTTGAATCGAATCGTATTAATTTTCTCCACACGTGAGTCTTTCATCTATGCTGCTTCCTCTTCTACCGTCGACGTCTAATAAAGTCAACTTTTCCTCTCGTGAAGCCGCAATCTTTCCGGCGACTTGCAGGGTGCTTTCGCGCGAGAAAAGCGATAAAACTGTCTTCAGCCCCCGCGAAGAAACGAAGAAAAAGAGAAAGGGGACGCCAAGGAGCGAGGAAGATGGGAGGAATATGATCTTCTCGCTCGTATTTGTGAAACATTCGATACTTCGCACTCGGGTTTCACACTCGGCTCGGTACATTGTCGCTGGTATTATAGTTCCAAACTGGCAAGAAAGCGGTGTTGCATAACTGAGAAAGAGAGGGAGATGAATCAAGCGTACAAGATGAGAAAGGGGTTGGAAACGCTGGTATTTGTGGTTCAGTTGTCACACATACGCCCACACTCCTTGGATTAGTATTAAATCTGACATCTCTTCTCTCGAATCTCAAATACTCGTCTCTTAAGCTGTACATTGTAACGATTCTGGCAGATATCCTTTACACTTTTCTATCGGGTAGGTCGAAAAACTTGGATCTATCCTTTCCACAATTATTTAAATTCATTCATTAATTAATCAGTCTAGGAATTTATTAATTTATTAGAGTCGATACCTATCGAATACCTTGGCCCCTCGCGCGGAACCCATTCAGGTAATCTCGGGAAATTACGGAAAATAAATCGCAAGGAAAAATTCAACCTGTCCCTCGATAAAAATTCCACACCGAGAGGATTAGCAAAGTTCGCAATCGGATTTCCGGATAAAACGGCCGGTTCGATCGTCGGCGCTTTGAATTTCCGCGACGCGAAATATTGGTCATGCTATATACTCTGTCTTGGCAATAATTCACAACGATAAACGACCGTCGTTAAACACGCTTTTGCTCGTGCATCGTAGGGAGAATGCATAGAGTCGACTGGAACGAATAATAATAATTGTCAGAGCAGCTTCCTGATTCTCGCTCCACTTTTCGGCGATTATGTCGCACGTCCCCTCCCCTTCTCGCCCATATGTCCATGTCCATGTTCGCGAACATAATCTCTCTAATGGAACCGCGAGATAACGGCTTCAAAGGGGAACGGTGGATCGGTGGTTTCGAGCGGGGAGAGTCCCATAACCAGTGCGGCCAATAATTCAACAGATATCACGAATTATAGCATTATGTCTGCTCTTGTTGAACAAGCTTCATGCGCTCGTTTTCGCCTGACACTAAATCGATAAGATCCAATCGCCCGCGCGATACAGTTGTCCAATTTTTTTTTCCTTTTCGGGCTTCGACCGATTGTCATACATCGCCGTGTTTTCCCACAAAATAACCCGAGCCTCGTATAATTCCTCTCGTCACCGGTCCATATCAATATTGACGAAATCAAACCCGCGGTCGTGTTTCTGTTTTTCTCTATCTCGCTCGCCCGAGAAATTGTACCGTGCTATTATCGACGAAAAACGGGAACGTTGCCAAGAGCGAATATGCCATATTAATATTTGCTTCGACTCCGCCGGAAAGAACATGCAGTCTTTTTAATAAAACAATTGTTTCCCCGAGTTTTCTTTCCCAGTTTTTTAGAATCCCCGTCGTTTGCAATCACTCAATTTTAATTTCAAATACAATCATTCAAAGATAACAAGCGGGATAAATTTCAATGCAGTTCAATAGCTTGCTGCGCAGCTGAACGAGGATGTCTAAAAGATG